GAATGAAGGAGTCAGCGGAGGGGTGAGGCTAAGGGGAAGGACAGGGGAAAAGGGAAAGTGACTAGAGGGGTGGCACGAGCGGACGCGTGGACGTTTCGGTTGCATCGCGGTTATAGGTTTGCGTATCGCATTAGATCTTAGATTGAAAACTCATCGAACCGTTTCTGACTTTATTAGGTAATTATCGCCTGCCGCAGTATCAATTCGTTTAACGAGCGGCAATTTTAATTATCGCCTCGTCGTTGGAAATACGAAATTCAACTAGGCTAATCGCTATAAATATACAACGCGGTGATATTTGCGTAATACGTATAGAATTAAATAGGTAAAGTCGAAATGAAACTGTGGTTGAGATTTATTTTCAAACTGTGTAGCTTCATCTTTAGACTTTTTCTTTCCAAGTGAAATATTGGCGGAAGCTACATCAGTAGAATGGGCAGAGCTTTCTATTTATTGCACGTTTCAATAAAATCGATTACATAGAGAGGGAGTTTAATAGAATTACAGAAGCTTCATAGCCTGACCTATTTTCTACGATAAAATATGATAACGAAGATAATACCTTTACTCTTCCTTTTTTATTCAATTGTTGCTAAAAGATACGTCGCATTATTACGTCACTTGGACTCAAATTTTATAGTCTTCTTTTAGTATCTTTTATCGTATCTTCATTGTAATCGAAAGACATTTTCGCTGTCTGACAAAACACAGTTTAAAACACTCACTCATTTTCAACGTAGAGTTGCAAAATCTTTACTTGATTAGAAACAATAAACTTGAATGCACTTGGCGGACAATAGCAAGATACAGTAGATAGGTAGTGTGTAGCCAGACCTATCGACGATGCATTGCCATGGAAACGGTACCGTCGCATGAGCAGTGTTGTGCTGCATAGTTCGTTGCGTGTCTGCACAGATATTTTCAAGGGCAAGGTTTAAGCACATCTAGGATAGTATAAGAACAATCGACACCCTTTGTATAATCGTCTTAACACTAAACGTACCAAGCAACCGGGTCAAATGGCCCCTTTTCAAAATTTACTTGAAAATCGTACATTCTTTCGGTAATCTGACTTTTTGTAAATTCTTATATCATCTGATTGTTCAATTTCTCGTTTTCTGTTTTTCTCTTGGCTTATTTTTTTTACGGAGAAAAATTCTTTGCATACCTTATGTCATTTGACCCTTTATGGTAACATAGGTATATGTAAAATGCCGGTACGTTT